GGTACTGGATGCTCCGTGTCCCGAATTTGGTTACTGATAGGACTAATTTAAAAATAAACTTTTCTAAGTTTGTTTTACTTTTGGTGATCTGGGTTATGCCCCGAGTCAACTCAACAACAATGAATTCAACTTTATTAATTTATTATGAACCCGTTCATGTACAGTATTTAAATAGTACCGCACACAAAAATGTCACAATTTTTTTTGCCACAATGGTCTAAGGACCCTTAAGAGGTCCGTATAATGAACGCCGGAGGTCCACGAGGCTACCTAACATCGTATTAATATAAAAATTGTTACACAATATGTTGTGAGTAAACAGGTGCAGTGCACATTTTGAATTTTCGCGCCCTTTGACGGCAATCCATTATTGGAGCGAGCGAGACGCGCGTCAATGCATCCCGCGAGCCTTTCTTATTTTATTTATTATTTACTGAAACATAAAAAGAATTCTTATTAATCTAAACCTGGCGGCACAACAAATACCAGCGTAGGTTTGTCCGTGCACAGCAAGAAGTTCTTCATCTTTTCGGAAAGGGCCTGTAGGCTCTGAAATTTTGAGAGGGGTCCATGACTAGAAAAAGGTTGAAACCCTGGCTTAAATAGATTCAATAGAAAATTTTCAAGATAAATACTATCAATCAAATAAAAAAAATTGTTTTTTGAGATCCATTCTCAAAAAAGGCACATCCCGTAGTACCATAAGCTGATATTTAAAATTACGGTAGGTACACGTCGTTACTGTACATGATCGGGTTAAAGGAGAAACAGACATAAGAAATTATCAAGGAAAAAACCTAGTATTCTATTGTAAAATATCAACATTGAAGACTTTACTGTGCCTTTGAACTAATTGTCCATATTGTAACACAAACAAGGGCAGAGTTAATGTTCAGTGCATGATCACATCCATACTTGGTACCGTGCCAAATGTGTCTTTTACTACAATTTTTTCCTTCAACCTACCTACTACATGTTTAGTTCGTTATATGTTATTATTATTTTGTTCTATTCAATCCGTAGTCAGTGTCAGGAACAATGTGCCAAACTGTTGAAAGATTGTTTTTGAACTTGAAGTTTTGACTTTGGGTTACGTCGTCGAGTCTGGACTCGAGTGTCGTCGAACTCGGCTAAATAGAAAAAGGCGGAATTCTCTAAATCAACGATAATATCTTTGGGGAGTTTTGAACTGGTTTAACTGGTCGTAATGTCTACGGGTCGTATTCCAGAACTCTTGATTTTCAGTGCTCACTGCAATACTCAAGTCCTGACTTGAGTATTGAGTAGACTTCTGGAATACGACTCTAAGTGTCGTATTCTAGAACTCTACTCAATGCTCAAGTCAGGATTTGAGCAGACTTGAGTATGATTTCAAGCACTGGAAATACGACCCTAATACCAAGGACTTGAGTATGATTTTGATTGCTTTGAATCATACTCAAGTCCTGACTTGAGCATTGAGTAGAGTTCTAGAATACGACCCTTAGTCTTCAGTGGCCTAAGTAATTATCTCCCCGACTATAGCGATGCGCGATTGTGAATAATTTCGATATTCGACTCGTTAGTAATCTCTAATCATGTCAAATTAGTAACCTACTAATTTTCGTATTCGAATGATTTGAATGATCATTCATTACTAATTAGTAGTACTAATCCATAGATTCCATAGAGCATTTCTGCTCGTGATAATCTAGCGCTCTCTGATATATAATAAACACTGTAAATGTGATGGGACAGGGATATTTTGTGGTTTGGACATGATGAATGAGGTGTTCCGATGTAATAATCATTCGACTCGTACACTCGATCGAATGGCAGGGGCATTCGGTAGTTAATAATTCGACTCGAGTCGAATGATTGTGCTTGGATTCGACTTAAGCGAATGATTTGCCCATTCGAATGATTAGTATTAGTAACATTCAAAGTCGCGCATCGGTATCCGACTACGCCGTAGAAAGCGTCATGGAATAATTCTAGTCGACAGGCAAAGCTTGAAGAAATGTCACTGAGGTTTTACTGCGACAGCTGTCTACTGAACACGACTAAATTTTGTTTTAACCATACTACAGAAGCCAGAATTTATATGAACATTCTTGACAAAGTTTTGGAACTTAACCAAACTTAATTAGAATTCGTATACTGCCTTCAAAGTCGTTACTTTAAGTTGGCATTTTGCGTGCCTATACAGGCTTGGCTATACCATTGTCGCGTGTTTACTAAACCAATACTATGGCTTATTAGATGACCGTGAAAATAAGCACGTTCACCATCTTGCTTTCCCTACTTGACCAAATTAAAAAGATGTAGATCACGCCTCAAATTGGGCGAATTATTAGTACCACGAGAGCTGGATGCGTTTCCCTGATTTTAGACAGTTATTAGCATGTAATCCGTGAAATGTTTGACATTGACATTTTATTTCTTTGATTAATAAAAAGTTAGTTGTTAGGCGCTCGCTTGCGCTGATCATGGCTATGTTATTATTTATTCAACTCGGCGATGAGGCGTAATTTTCCCGTGACATTTATTTCAAATGCTGGACAGATGCGAAACCAGTGCGGGGTATTGTGCTACCGGAAAAACAAGCATAAATCGCGCTGTGTCTTGACAATGTGAAAATACTGAGCGAACGATCGAATTTGTTATTTACTCCACAGTGCTTTGTGAAGTACAGTCGTGCCCTAAGATACCTGACCCACCTAAAATACCTGACCTTTTGATTCTGAGAACCTTCTTACGCATTCAATTGAAAAGTGTAACGGAATTCCTGCTTTTTATTTGAAATTTATGTAATATAATTAAAGATCAAATTGACTTAAAACGTTATTCACTAATGACGCAATAAGGAAATCAATCAAAATGTATTTCACGTCTCACGGGTTAAATGTTAAGTTTGCTTAACACCGTTTTTCACACTGATCTACTCAGAACTAAATAGTCGGTTAGGGGTCAGATATCTTAGGGCATCGACTGTACGCACCAATATCAAAGTCACCACTACTGGCTGCGTAATTGTGTGTAAAGGGTGGAATAAGAGTATATATTTTGGACATACTGAAGTTACTAGTAGCGCCTCTAGCGGACAAAATTTGCTCTGATTTGCTATCAAAAGACAATCACAGAAATATGAAATTGCTACACTTTAACATCTTCGTTCGTATTGAGGAAATTCAATTATATGTACCTTAATACGCCCTTGCAATCACGCAACTGACAATAATAATTACTACGTCAACTATTTATAACCCTTTAGTTGACAGGCAAGGTTCTTCCTTTCCATCGCAAATGCGTCAACCCCCCCCTTTGTCTTCACTTCCATTGTTTCAGCTCCCTTCAATAGCACAAAAGGCTGATATTATGTTACTTAAAACACGACCATAGAAAGTATAACATTACATCTCATTGTCTTTTAAAAACAGGTTCAAAATAATCGTTTAATTCCACATTCGTAATTACGACATGTATCCAAACTCGCGTGTTGTGTGTTTGTTTTGTTTCAATTTGTGAAATGTGCGTCGATTTTAAAATATTCTGCCTGTAATTAAAAAAGATGTTAAAAAGAAAAGAACTGACGTGGCATGCGAATCACCGAATTAGGATTCGAGATAATTATACAAATTGGAGGCACAATTCTTGCAGATTGCATTGGAACACGATCTGTGACTGTATGTACTAGGCATCCCGTTACTTTTATGCCATTGTTTTTTTGACCAATACAATCTGGGACAAGACGTAACTAAAAATTTACATTAAATAATTTATTTTAATAACTAATTTGTTTCAAATTCTACATAATTAGGTAGTTCACGTATAATATAACATTGAAATGTTTATTTCATTGGTTATTATTTTTTAATATAAACTGTTAAATTGAGATAGAAATTAGACTCTTTTGACTTTTATTTTCAATCAATAATTTTTATTTAGCGCGTATTTTAATTTAAAAATTACGTATTGTATTTTTTAACGGTTATTCAAATTCTATATTTGAATTATCTTGTGGTATTTTACATTTTCTCGAAAGATCGTTGCGTGATATTATTAAAAAACATTCTTCTCTAATTAACACATTTTGTATTTTATATTTTGTAGACATTGCATTTACTAGCTTGTTAATAACTTTATAACTAACCGTTTTGTTTTTTTTGTGTAACTAATATTACATAATAGTATTAATCTTAAACATATTTCTCTCTTTAATTCTTTGTTCCTTTTTCATAAGATATATTTTTTATATTGATAACTTTATTAATAGCTTGCAGGATGCAGCTTAGTAAATATTTTTAAACATATTTCTACATAATCTATGAAAATCTGTGTCTATTCCTGTCATTTACCTTATTACGTAGAACTAAAATGTAGAACTAAATTATTTGTCTGCAGACTAAACAGTATCTCAAAATGTAACGAGCTTATTTTAAAATTTAATTTGTTATAAATACGGCGTAAAAGCGATTTATAAAAGAAGAGGTGTTTATATGGTTGCCTTAAAATTTTCAAGCTCTTTTCGTCTTAAAAATTGTTTTTCGCCAATAAAGTGAGTTTTATAATTAGTAAACATAGTTATAAATATAATAATAAAAAGGATATGAACGAACGAAAAGAAATATTTGTTTTTTCACAAGTTTGCAAAACTTTGTAGCTTGACTTTTACACATTTTCTTCCCTGAAGAATCGATATATCTTTATTTTATGTTCTGAAATAACTGCAATTTAACATTTTTTTTCAACATTTAACAAGAATTGCCTTACCAGACAACATAGGCATAACACAGATGATTTTTTTGTCTGCCGACCTGTCAAATTCCATGCAGTACTCAATTCAAGATCACGGCAAATTATATATTTCATTTGGCGGACGATAAAGTTGATCATCAGTGTCGGGCCTCATTTGTTATCAAATGCGGAATGTGGAAAACTCAAAAACTGTTCTGTTCGAGAATGTCTCACTAAATCGTACCTGTTCTATTTGTTTTTAATAGAAGGGGACGCTGTTCCAGGCAATGGTGGCGAGACGACGTGGTGTTTTAGCCAGGTGAAAGGCACCCTGGAAGATGACGTCACGGAGGCTGACCTGATCTCTTGCGTTGAATTCAACCATGATGGAGAACTTCTCGCCACTGGTGACAAAGGTGGCAGAGTTGTTATATTTCAGGTGAGAAATGTGTTTTTTTAACAAAGCTAAAGTCAAATAATCTTTATATTGGTAGGCAAATTACACTTGAAATTGACATATTATTGATTAAACTGTACTGCTCATTTGTAAGGCAGATTCCCCTGAGAAGAATGAGTGAGAAGCTCTAGGGGTTGCTCTTTGTAAATAACATTTTTACACACAGACATATCTAGATAGACGCCGCAAGTGTACGTACTTCGCTTGCCCAAAGTAAGTGAAATTCACTTAGTTGCCGCTGCTACACTTCAGAACGCGCTCGACATGTAGTACAACCTCTTGTCTGCATAATATCAAAATGGACCAAGTTGTAAGCCTTGTGGTACACCAATGGGTTCCCACAAAATTCAGCTTTAAATAGTTACGACGTGACCATGGGGAGTCTAATCAAGTCCAAATAGTGTTGATTAGCGATGTTCCTGGAATTTAATAAAAACATACATAGTTATGACAACACATATATCCTGAAATATCAAGTGTGTTTGTAATAATTTGCGTTCAATCGATTACGTCTGCGACTTGATAAAGATTATGTATATGCGAGATAAATAACCATAGACATGATATACCATTGTGATAACTATGTTTTATGGCATTACGTCAGATAAAATTAACTGAAATATTTAAAAAATTCAATTCACTATGTAACTAATTTTCAAAAAAGTTCGGTTAAAGTTTTGATAAACCAGTATTGGTTTCTGTTGAATTAAGCAGCAAATGTTATGGGTATAGCTACTCCTTTCTATATATTATATAGAAAAGAGTTCTATATATTATATAGAAACGAGAAGCTTATCCCTGAAATTTTGCTTTTGTGGCTGTCACAGAGGTATTTACATAGCTGCCTATTTACATAATCTCGCAAATCTACACGTTTGTCTTTAAATAATTAGAAACCCGAAACTTTGTAGTTTTCCTTAATGGTTTTATAAGCAGTAGAGCTTTTTGTGAAAGAGTTCGTCCAGGAAAGTACTGCCATCTTACCTATTTCTGCAGCAACCTGTAATGTGAGCATTACAGCGTTCCGGTTTTGAAGGGAAGGGTGCTTGTGAAATTACAGGCACATGGTACTTGTTATCACGTATCAGGGCGACGGGCGCAATGGCAGTGCCCCTCATGTCTTTGAGATTTAAAGCTTTGACTAGCACTGGAACTGCTGTGAACAGGCGTGTCGCTTATCACCAGGCGTACGACTTGTTCGTCCCGTCGGTTATACCATAAAAAAAAAACTTTTTGATTAAAATAGAACAGCGGATTCTTCTGCTAAAGGCACGACAAAGCAATTCGGTCATACCTAATATCATATAAGTATTCGATTTTTTTATCGTGCAATATTATTTCATATTCGATTACTGTGTCGTGAAATATTATTTCATAATTACGCTATAATATACTTGAATATTTAAATAATAAAAATTGTCACGGAAATTAGATTAGAACTTTAGTTGGAGAATCACCGAATCATGACAGATCCGTACATAATAAACAAATATAAAGGCCTTAACTATACTACCTTACTTATAATCAATATGCGTACGCACATTCGGGAGAAAGTTGACAGACGAGTCAGTCTCTGTATCGCTGTTCATACGCAGAGCAGCTACGCGATTGCAACATGATAAACACTATTGTTGTTTTTACGATCATCATGCAGGACTAGTTATTTATGGTTTGATTTAGTTGTTTTTCATTAAATATACCTATATTTCAGATATAACAGACGCTATTCTAGAACTGATCGACGATCTCCATGGTCGAGTGGTTTGCACACTTGGTTTTCATAGAGTCACCATTTCCGGTCTCAGGCCCTATCCTCGGTCGGGTCAATGTAGTAAACTTACTTTTTTATATTTTTTCGGGTCTAGGTGTTCGTGGTACCGTCGTTTCCTATTTCCATAACACAAGTACTTTAGTTACTTTGGGATTAGAGCAACGTATGTGATGTTGTCTAATATAAAAAAGAGTCTAGACCGCATTTAGATATATCGATCGAGCAGTTAAGATGTTATGGACCGATGGAATGGTCAAATGTATAGTCTGTTCTAATCCATTTTGAACAAAAAGTAAACAAACCTGTTTGGTTAAAATTCTAAAGCAATCCCTCAATAAATCGAATAAGTAACACTTTCACGTGTATTTCGAAGATTTCGACTTGATATGTCATTACTGTTTCCAAGTATATTCTTTTGAATAGCATCGTAAAATAGTATTTGAAAAATGGTAGCCTAAAAGTGAGGTTATTATTCATCTATACTTCTGTGACTTGCCTATGGTTGCATAGTATTGTTCGAAAAAAAAAACATTCGGTTCAATCAATTTAAGTTTAATAATCGATTATTCAATGGAACATTTCAATCGCTATCGAACGAGTATCTAAGTGTAAGGATTTGAAGGATTTAAATTGACATTTTAAATATGCTTATATAGGTTATGTAAGGAAAACCGCTAGTATCACTCAATTGAACAAATCGATTCATTCAATTAATTAATCGATTTGTAATCGGCGTTACAATTTGCCATCACTAAACCGTCTATGGTCGGGCCAGTGACTTTTGTTGCGTATATGTATAAAAATGGACAAAGCTGTAAGCCTTGTGGTACACCAATGTCGTTCCTCACAAAATTTGACTTTAAATAATTATGAAGTCACCATTGGGATTTATTATGTACAATAACGTTTTATTTCTTTGTTACGAATTTGTTTTGTTGTACAATAAAGTGTTTTTACACACTACATACATACAGTTCATAGTACATAAACTACTCAAGCCTACTTTCCTGGACGAACTCTCACAAAGAGCTCTACTGCCATTTAAAATGTATGTAGACGTATGATAGATTGACGGTGGTGATATAATAAATTTGTAAATTTCAATTTTATTTCTTTCACAGAGGGACCCAGCGTCAAAGCAATGTGTTCCTAAAAAGGGCGAGTACAATGTGTACTCTACGTTCCAGTCTCACGAGCCCGAATTCGACTATCTCAAGTCTCTCGAAATCGAAGAGAAGATCAACAAGATTCGGTGGCTCAAGAGAAAAAATCAGGCACACTTTCTACTCTCCACCAATGACAAGACTATTAAATTATGGAAGGTGAGTTTATAATTAAAATCAAATCTATTTTTTTTTATAAAGAACAGCAAAATAACTCAATAACTGACGTTACTTTAACTTTTATCAATGTAATTTGATTGTTATCTGTTTTTGTTTTTTATATAATAAATATTTTTATGGCTTTCCATAAGTAAAATAGATGTTACAATCTTCTAAGAATATTATGAGCCTAGTAGGGCATGGTAATAGTTAAGGTAGTTATTTCATAATCACATGAAATCTGTATTTTATAATAGTAAACAAGAAAGTTTGTAGTTTTGACAAGCTTCTACATTACCTAGCTACTATTACAACTACCTAATTATTAATAAATAATAGCCTTCTAAAAAAGGCCCAAAGGCCGAAATCTTTAATGTTCAGATCGTTTAGTGTGCTTTTTGTTGTCTGGCACATAACCAAACAACGACACCTGTTGCATGGTCTTCTCGGCACTATGAGTACCAGAGCCACATAACTCAATCTGATGCATTTCCCAGAACACCCAGACTAAAATCAATTTAGAAAAGTTCATTTTCCAATTTGATCCTATCGGGAATCAAACCTGGGAACCTCGCACAGAGGTCGTCAGAATGATTACATTCACATTGCAATGCATTATAAGGATTAATAAAAAAGTAATTTTTATGATTAAATAATGTACCAATATGCAGTTCGATGATCCACTTACAAAATCAGAAACATTTCTTCTGAGGTTATCTATAAAGATTAACTTTTTTATAATGTATGGATCGACGAACATGTCGTGCGCCTGGTGGTAAACGACAAGCCTAACAGTTGAAGTGTCACTCAGCTTTAATCGCAAAGATCTAAGGGGCATTGTCATTGCGCCTGTCACCATGAGCATAAAGTTAAGTCCCACGTGGCAGTAGTTTCACCAGCACCTTACACATTTAAAACTTGAACACATTAATGCTCATATTATAGCTCTACCTGCTATTATGTTTAAACATTCCTTCTCTTATCTGCGGAATACCTTAGTCATTTGATGTCTTTAGGGCTCGTGTACACGCTAAGGACGTGCTTCCTACAGAAAAGATGAGAATGGTCTTGTGCACGACAAGAACTTTGTCGAATCTAACCACGAAAACATACCGTGTCTGTTGCAGACGAGAAAATGATGAGTATGCACACGATACGAATCCTTTTGGACAGACTTGTGTAGGGTAAAATGTGTCAGTGCATTACGAGTCTTCCAAGGAGCTGTCGTTTTACTACCGACTGTGGAAAGAAATATGTTGACTACTAAGCAACACCCGTCCACGCTCATAAACGTTCGTTTACTGACAATGCACCTCTCCCCGCCCCATACAATTGCGACAGAGCGCGTCGTGTCGGGGGTAGACAAGATTTTTTTTCTCTCTGGCGCCGAGGCAGAAACTACACGAATTCTTGCATAGACTTTTCTTAGCCCTTAGTATAAAACAAAAGATTAAAAATTATTCGAAGAAGTTTCTTCGGCGGAGCGTTAAGCAATCAAAACCCCTGAGGATACCTAGTAGAGAGGGGAATCACGTGTAGGGGGTATATTTTTGGTGGATATATTTTTGGTGTGGTGGAGTTGAGCTTGTGTTATTTATTTTATCAATTTTATGCGGAGGGGGAAGCTATTAAAAAAAATATTCAACACCAGCGCAGCTGTTTTGGACGAGTTAACCTTCACCGGATTCACGGAATAACAAATTAATTTACTTCCATTTTTATTTACATAGACTTCCACAAAGTAACGCCTGAATCTATTAATTACTTAATCATTTTATTGTAATTTAGCACATCTTATTAATATATTTTTTTACTTCTTGGTGCTTACATAAAAGCAATATGCTCGTCGTGATAATTACGAGATTGTTTTGCAAACGCGTGCTTGTTAGACCCGCATTTCTGCTGGCATAAATGTCATTGTTAATTACTTTGTTTCTAGAATCTTTTCTGTCTTCATTTGTATTTATTTTAACGCGGGTGTTAAATGTGTGCGTTGTCTTTGTTGTGACGTCATTTACATAGACACAACGAGTATTGTTCAATATTTGAAGTGCTGTGTTTTATATATCAATGTTTTATATTGAAAATTACCTATTTTTTATAAACGTTTCGGGCTGGTTCCCATTATTTGACCAAGTTAAAAGACAATGTCAAGTATGAAGCTTCATTCGCATCATGGGTTTTATAATTTGGTCGAGTGTCACTTATTTGACAGTAATTGTTTCGGACGGAGAACGAGAGTAGACAGACCCTCAGGTCCCGTTGTCACGGCTTACTGTGACCATGGTTTGTTTTTTTTAAATAAAAACAAAAATACGCGAAATTCGTAAGGTCTGCCCATGGTCGAGACAGGCGACCCGTAGCTAAGTTGGTACAGCGGGGACTTTGGTTTGGCAGAGACGCGGGTTCGAATCTCGTGTTCGAATTTAGTGTTCGATCTTAACTTGTGGAGTAATTTCACAAAAAATTAAATGGATATCATCATGATTTTCAACAAAAATCAATATACGCGATTTTAGACCCGGAAATAATAGTTCTATTTCCAATGTTTAGTAATCTCGAAATTCTATTAACTCTATTTTTATGTCTTCTGATATTTTTGAGTTTGAAGAAGAGAAAGTCTTCATGAGTATATGATAGATGAATATGATAGATGTTTCAAGAACTCGATATAAATGTTATGGCGTCCAATGTCCATGGAAAATATTCAATATGGCTGCATAAATTGGGAGGTATAGTCGGCTAAATTAATGTGGAATTTTCTCGACAGAAAATTCGGTTGTTAGTAGCAACTTATTTTTTTCTTAATTGACCCGAAACGCTGCCCGCCACCGTTCTCCCTTTCTTTTCTCTCATTCATTCATCTCCTTCGCTGTTGTCATTTACTTTTGTTCTACAGTTGCATTCCTAATATCTTTTTAGTTTTAATTTCTTTAGGCAATGCAAAATAATTGTCATGTTTGACAAGATATATTTTCTTTACCACCATGTGATACGATATTAAGTGTTAATACTAGCACCTGCATCTCAAAATTCAAAAGTAATTTGTCAGCCTAAAATGTAGTTACTAGAGTTGCAATAAATATTCGGTTAGTGTTCGGTATTCGGCCTATTCTTTGGTATTCGGCCGAAATATCTAAAAGCAAGAGGGAAAAATGAGAAAAAAAGAGTAAATTAACATGTAACTAATATCGTCGCCTTACTTTCTCAAACTCATATCTTAAAGCACAAAGTTACTGAAATGCAAAAAATGGATTGTATATAGAAATTTTGCAGGCTGATTTCACATCACATTTCCTTCATATTCACACACTGGCTTTGGCTATTCTTAAAGTAATGTATCCAAATTAACATCCTTGATAAGAAATTTAAAATAAATGGAAAGTTTTGCCATGTCCCGAATGATTATTCTTTATACGATACGAGTTTGAGTAAGTATGGCATCGATATTAACTATTATCTTACATCGTGAGTTCGGGAAAGCGAAATTTTTCGCTTATTTATCAAAAAGAAATATTAACTTTATTTTCGTAAGAGATCTAAAAAGAAACCAAATCAAATGAAAACTGCCTGCTTATTATGTAGTTTAGTCATGAGGAAATAAACGCTAACAAAATCAATCAAGTATGTATTGTTTGCAGACCAAAATAATTCTTTGAAAGTTAATTGAACTGAAGAATTTTAAACAATTACTTTCTTTATTAAGAATCATAAATTTAAATTATAGACTTGAAAATGAAATTACCTTTTTTGTTTCATTGTACGAAGTTGTTTATCATAACTGAATTTAATATAATACGTGGAATTTTTCGTCCCAATTTCCGGACGTGCGTTAATCTGTCCGATATTCGATATTTAGCCGGAGGCAACACTGTTATTTACTCGTATATACCTGAGCCGGTGTAACTTACGAGCGTCGCTTTAACATATAGACAGGTTCTCAAGGGCGTGCTCGTCACATACATGAGCCGCGTGCATGTAAATGACCTGAAACCTAATAATGATAGTGACAATGTGTTCTTCGTGCAGGTATCAGAGCGCGATAAGCGTGTGACAGGCTACAACACGCGCGAGGAGGGGGGCCGCCCGCGCGATCCTTCGCGGATCACACAACTCCGCGTGCCCACTGTGCGCCCAGCCGAACTCATGGTTGAGGCATCACCTAGGTAAGCTATACAACAAAATACGAAAATTTCAGACGTCGATACAGCTAGATTGGTTTACTTCTGCTACTTACACAGTTTAATAACATACGGCATTTTGCTTTGGGGTAATGCCGCCGATTTACCCTATCGTTAAAATCTGGATAAAGATCTCGGGTAAACAGGCTTCGTCTAGGTTAGGGATTTCCAAACTGCAGTCAGCAAACATTACTAATCTGGCCTGCCTTAATATATTTCAATTACAAAGTACATGAGTCACACAAAATAATAATCCATGTTTTTATTTAACATACAATAAAAAACTCAATAACGTGCTAAGCACTTTTCGTTGTAATTTATTATGCACACAACCTAGGAATTCTCTGCCTGCAATTTTGTGTCCGAGCACATTCTTTTTTAAAATATTAATCAATTTCAATCTGGTGGTAAGCTACACGCCTGTCCATAACAGTTGCAGTGCCACTCAAAGCTTGAAATCGCAAAGATCTGAGGGGCACTGCCACTGCACCCGTCACCCTGAGACATAAGTAGACAAGTCCCATGTGCCTGTAATTTCGCCAGCACCCTTAACCCTTTAAAACCGGAATGCAGTTATGGTCACATTACTCCTTGGCGGTAGAAATGGGTAAGGTGGCAGTACTTCCCTGGACGAACTCTTTCATAAGACTCGACTGCTACTAAAACAACATACAACTCGAGAATCTTTAAGATCTGAATCTTCTGGGTGTGCTCGTTCCATCGTATACCCTATCTTTGGTTTAGGGCTAGATAAAAACGGCCACTGGCAAAACGCATGTAGCTCCTCGACCCTTTTCATAAGTAAAGTCGTATTATAATATTGATTCCATCTTCTATGGTATTTGACCACCAGCCTTTTTAATGAAAAATCGAAAACAATTTTATATCTCACAAAGCGAGATAAGTCAGTTGCCATGTTAACGATAGATGATAATATTTGCCTAAAGGGCAGGCAAGCAACAAGGTAGTAACTCTATATTTATATTCCGATTGGTATACCGTAAAAATAATTAATACACGATGAAAATCAAGTGCTGATAAACTTAACATTCACCCCATAAGTTATCTGCTATTAAGTCTTCTATAGAGCCCCAAGATAAGATACCCGTTATTGAACTGGAAAGTACTTGACGTTATTGTTTTAATAACCAATACGAT